AGTTGCCGCTCAAGATATCTATGGAGATCAGTGTAAATTCCATGTATTTCTTTCTTTTCCAGGTCCGCAACAAGACGCCCAAGCCGCAAGGGAATTCATTCTAAGGATGTTCGTAGATTTGAACCCAGATACAGACAAAATTATTTACTCTCATTTCACTTGTGCCACGGACACCGAGAACATTCGCTTCGTCTTCGCCGCTGTCAAGGACACCATTTTACAGTTAAACTTGAAAGAATACAATTTGGTTTGAAAAGTTAGCACGGTCTGTGAACTACCACAGTCATATTTCTCTCAGTTGGTTCGTTGAAGCTAGCTTTCCTGCTGTAAGAAATTCCATAAAACTTGAAATCTACACTGACATTGTAAACCGCGCAGAACACTACTCCTATAAAAGATTAAATAAAGCCCGGATGACTGACTGCAAAGGAACTTGAACCCCATCGGGGATTTTATTTCCGGGAGATTTTATCCCTTACCCGTGGCTTTGTCCTCGGATATCTTGCCCATGCAGAGTTAGGCTATAGAGATCATAAATGACTTAAGGTGGCATGATGAGATTTTGTACTCGTTTGAAGACGCGATTGTAGCAAGTTTAGTCACTTTTACGTGGGTGTTTAGACAGTGCAAGAATGACACCACATATTTGTATCAATTTGTGCAGGGATTTATACGATCTCTTTTTTTCATCAATGTGAATGCATAGGCATATAGCTATTACAAAATCGTCATTCAGAAAACAAGCACGAAATCTTCGTAGTTTCACATTGTCATCATTGGAATATGCGTTCATTGAAATATTTTCCAGACACCAAAAACGACATGTGGAGACCAGGGCTACCAATGCAACGAATACCATCGTTTAGTAATAGAGTAGTTAAGTTCTTTTTAAGGGTTTTTAGACGTCGTGCAAGCTGTGTTGACAGCGTAAAAACTGTCTATCATATCAAACCTTGACAAGTAGATTCCCAAACTACAAATTTATCAACAGAAATTTGAATTATTCGACTTTGCAATAAAAGCATACAATTCGTATAGAATTTGTGAAATTTCGATTGTTTACAAAATAGATAGTTCCCTCGTAATTAACGAAACCATTTTGCTCCGGTTAAATATAATTTTCACGAGGAAAACGTATATAATAGTGAAAGTATAATGAGAGTCGCAGATTACGTTTAGTTTATTTTGAATTTATAGAGAAATTATAAAACCTGATTCCATTTGGTCGTACAACTCTGGCGACCAAGTCGACGATGTGAAATAGTCCGCATCTGTCTCGTCTTAGAACTCTATTACGTCCGTCAACTTGATAGGCTCACGAGAGTTCTAAATTGAAACCGAGTAGTATAGAATACTTCTTAGTCCAAGTAAAGTCGAATCACTTGCTAAAAAATTATTTTCTCGATCAAATCTATGTTCACAGGCATAATTTTCGACAAGTGACGTGACTTCATTTGGGCACCGCAAAGTTACAAAGAGCGTCATAAAAATGACACGCGAACATGTTACTTTTTGGTCAAAATGAATGCCTTCGATTTAAAACCATTAGTTCTTAGACTTGTTACTCTGGTTTACATATATGATCACAATACGCCTTAGTAGTTTAATTTATGATCTCTATGGTTCAAAGTCTGTATTAAAATGTTAGGGATATTATATCGAGGTCGTTTTAGAGCCCTCTGTGGACTGGGCCCAACTCACCGACGCTCGTCGGTGATTGGTCGAACCATTGTATCTATAGCAACAACGCGATCTGTGGTTTATGCTAAATAATATCTTAACTTATATAAGTGTAATAGTGTATAATAATAATAATTGTCATTCTAGATCTGTAGAAGTCGGCTTATAGTTTGTTTCTTGATTGCGCGATAAAAGTGCACGCGATATATAAATATATATAAATATTGACTCTTGTAGATGTAGTTAGGTAGGTTTTAAAACTACTCCAAGCCGCCTTAATATGACAATGTCAAGATTGTGAGTGGAAGAATAAATATACAAAGAGACTAAAGTTGGAAGAGGTTTGAAGACTGGCGCTGGACTATTTTGGGGAACACGTGAAAATTCCCATGTCTCATCAAATGTTCCCCAGTTTGCCCATGGAGGGAAAAAACTAATTTCTTTCTGCGACCACTGTGACAGAACAAAAACAATTCTGCCAATATTCCCACATTCCCAACTATAAGTACATCCTGGGCGCCGGACGAGCTGGAACACCGTTGCTATAGCGTGGAAAACCCCTTGCACCCTCGTTGATCCAATATCGATTCAGTGCAAATGAGCAGAAAATTGAGATGGATAGGAATTTCAACTATCTGATCTGGCGTTTTTGGTACAACCTACACTGGCACAGATTGGTTCGCGAGTTTATATCTGTGTAAATGACCTTATTTATTTACTATAAATTGTTTAACTCGTATCATTAAACTTGACCACCTTTGCTCTCCAAGCATTTCTCACTCCTTGCTGGGGCTAACTGCCGCGCTACTCAACAGCAACATCGTTGATATAAGATCGTTTGCATAAATGCATTTTCCCCTTTGTCGCCATTTTGAACAAAATCACGTGAAGAGACTATGGGTTCTCATTGGCTATTTAATTCAAGCAGCTAAGCTCGCAACATCCGCAGACGTTGAGATTTTTTCCTCGCGAGGTGAAAAATATCGAACACGATAGATATTTTCCTCAAGGCCTCGAGAGGTTAAACCCTCACGAAACTAACCGCACACGAGATAAATATGCTGGGCTAGTCGCCACAAGAGGAGGTCAGCTCGGCACGTTTTTCTCATGTGCGCAAGGGTGGGTTGACTACAAAATTTTTGTAGTTCGCTATAACTACAGCTACTTCAAAAATATGTAGTCGGCTACAACTACTGCTACTTTTGAACAAAGGTAGTTCGCTACTGACTACAGCTACTGCTTAAAAAATGTAGCGAATTATTTCGCTATTTCGCTACGCAATATTTTTTAATTTTACTGTATTTGGAGCATCTACTAGCTCAGGCTGTATGTAAGATATATAACAAAGCGACTTACGAGTAAATAGGATGGCATGCACTTGCACGGCATATTTTATTCATGCAAATTGAGTATTGATTTTAAGCAAACCGTGTCTCAATATCATTCTATTCTATCCAGTTGCTAACAATTTTAAAAAGTAGCGAATAGCGATTTTCTGTTTGAAAAGTAGTCAACTGCTTGGCTACTTTTAGGCAAAATGTAGTTCGCTATAACTACAGCTACTGTTTTAAAAAAGTAGTCAAAAACTACTGGCTACTTGAAAATTGTAGTTCGCTACAGTAGCGAACTACAACTACTTCGCTACTACCCACCCTTGCATGTGCGACAGGCTTGCGAATTTTGTTAGGGTGATTGCTAGAAAGTATACTTCAAAATAAGGTTTCCGTTTTTATAACGTATAAAAAACCATCCTATAATACAAAACTAAACCCTAATACTAACCCTAACCTAACCTTAACTTATTTTAAAAATTGATATAAAAACGGAAACCTTATTTTGAAGTATACTATCTAGCATTGCCATTTTGTTAGTCTGTGTAACCATAGCCTATCGATGAGAAGGTGGTTGTGAAACTCATTAGAATAACAATATAGCTCATCTATATCAGGCAACGTTTCTTCATAAATCTGGCCCTTCACCGTCACGTGCGTATTGTATTTTTGCCAAATCCACCAATAGCAATTTCCAATTTACCCTATCGTTCGAGTCATGGATAGGTAAACTATTAGTTGGGCAAAAGTGCAATACACACGTGATGGTGAAGGACCAGATTTATGAAAAAACGCGGACTAACATAGTCATAGATAATGAGTTATATTGTTATTCTAATGAGTTTCGCAGCCATCTTCCCTTCGATAGGCTTTTTTCGTGCACGACATATATTTCTCTTTGACCCCCAACGACAACCAATTGTGTGTAAAACATGATGATATTCTTGCCTTCGTCCACAGGAAAGCCTCGAGATGCTACTGCTGCTCGCGAGTTCGTCTTGAAAATGTTCGTGAACTTGAATCCAGATCCGGAGAAACCCATTTACTCCCATTTCACATGTGCCACCGACACGGAGAATATCAAGTTCGTTTTTGCCGCCGTTAAAGACAGTATTTTACAACAGCACCTCAAGGACTATAATCTAGTGTAATGTATCCATGTGTCACGCACAAATTGTAATTTAATTTTGAATCACATTTGTCATTTGTGAACTCTGAAAAACGTCACTTGTGAGCTCTGAGAACGCCATTTGTGAGCTGTGAAGAACGCCATTTGTGTGTTCTGAGAATGCCATTTGTGTGTTCTGAGAACGCCATTTGCGAGCTGTGAAGAACGCCATTTGTGTGTTCTGAGAATGCCATTTGTGTGTTCTGAGAATGGCGTTTGTGAACTCTGAAGAACGTGACTTATGAGCTCAGAAGAACGTCATTTGTGAATTCTGAGAGAAATGTTTGAGGGAATTAACTGACTCAGTGTTAAATACCGAGTCAGTTTCCCAAACATTTCTCATAATAAATGCTTCAAAACATAGAGTTTACCAATACAAAATTCCTATTGTGATCACAGAAACTTTGATAGTGCAAACCAGGCTTATATAGGGATGCCTCACATATCGATTCTGTCCACGAGAAACATCATATGTTCGTTTCTCTGGAGACCCCCCCTCCCCCCCTTAGAAACGTCACACATAGTTATCGATATTTTGTTCTTATAGATATAGTACACATAAGGTAATTTTCTACTATTTTCTACGGTCGGCTATTGGCGATACTTCCGCGAAGAATATGTCATCTGCTGCTATCTTTTTTCATTAATATATATGAACTTCAAAATTTCCAACGTTTCTCAAAACAACTACTTTTGCATGAAATATTGATAATTTTAGCGCGTTTTTCTTAAAATCTGAGACTGTTTTCAATGCAAAGAAGGCGTAATAATATAAATGTATACGTATATAGAACGGGTACGGTATTACGAATGTAATTTTTTTATTCTGCAAAGATGATTCCGAAATGTTAAGGCTTTCGAAAAAACTATCGAATTTTCCCATGATGTTTACTGAGAAACGTCACAGCTGCA